TGCTCGTCCGCTGCCTTCTCCTGTCCTCTGCTGTTGCCCCTGTAGGCTCTGTTTCTCGACTCAGGTGTGCCCACTCACGCATGCCCACACTAGTCCAGGCGCCACCACCTGGTGTGCGTGCAGGACCACAGGTGTCGGTCATTGATGCTAATGGCGGGAGGGCGGGAAGAAGCCATCACTTCCATTTACCCCATCCAGACAAAACAGGTGTGAAAATGCAGCCACAGCCCCACCAACACTTGGCAGAAACGGCTGACCATCTCCTGCCCCTGCCCTGCCGGAAGAGTCAGGGCTGGGCTTCCAGCCAGCTGCTCCGCCCTAACCCAGACCCAAGCTCGGTGGGCAGGCCTCCTCCAGGCTTCAGGAGGGGGGGGGAGGACGTGTGAGTGTGTGCGTGTGTGTGCGTGTGTGCGAGCGCACGCCCACCCTCCCCTGCAAGCACCACACCCTCCCTGTGCCTCTGCTGTGGCTCTCAACTCCCACTACACCGACACCGAAGTCATCCTGTGGGCCTTCTGCGCCCTGCACCAAGGGGCTGGAATGAACTGTTCTAAAGACAGGGGTGACACAGACAAGGCTTTCTGAATGGACATAAAAAAAAATATCCAAGACCCAGGACCATGCTGTGACCATGGAGGGCTAACGTGTCAGCCTACCAGTAGCTTAGAGTTCAGAAAACCTAGACACTCAGGAGCCCGTGAAGAAAGGAGGTGCTGGAAGGCCAAAGGCAGCAAGGCAGGCAGCCACGTGCGCTGTGTCCCCCCCCATCCCCCACGCCCCTGTCCTTCCCAGAGGACCTGCACAGGCCACCCCGGGGAGGCTGGGAAGCCCACCATCAGCTGGTGCCAGCAACCTGACCCTCATCGGCCAAGGGCCCCCGCTGAGGCAGCTTGAAAACTGGTTACTTAAAAGAGTATGTTTAGCTTTCCTTTCCTAAAACTTAATTTTTGCATTTTGTGCTTTGCTTAAGGCTCTAATGACTAAATTGTAAAAATGAGTGAAACAAAACCTGAATTAAACAGGAAAAGCACATTTTTACCAGATCTACTTTTATTTCAGAAGGAAGTTTGTATTATAGTATTTACTTTTGTTTATATACAAGTTCTTCACATTTGTGTTTAAAATGCACAGACCTCCCTTGATTCTCTTGTTCTTGCTTAAATTAGCTGTTATTTTACAATACAAAAAATACCAAAAAGTTGCAGTCCTAAATGTATGTATAACACCCACAATCCCCAGCAATGAAATAGTTTACAATACTTACTCCATATTTACATGAGTGCAGTAGATGCTAAATTATACATATTAACAAACTAAGCTTGGATCCAAACGAAACGAAACGAAACAACAAACTGTAAATAACTATAAAACAAAAACATTTCCAGAGTCAGAGTTAGTTCAACAAAACAGGCTTCACTAGTGTTTAGAATGTTTTGTGCACAAATTCAGTTACTGAAAGTCAATTCCATTATTGCCTTGGAAAGAGAAGGCGCCAGTTTTTACTTCAAGTCAGCTCCCTGCAGGCAAGGGTGTTTATTACTTTGAACTCGGCAGAAATGTCTCTTGGGGGGCCTGGAGACCTATAAACCATTCCCGGTGATTTTGTGGTTAGGGTTGAGTTTGGTAGATCGGGTAAACGTCTCCAACGCAGAGCCGGCGTGTGGCCTGAGGACAGTCCCTCTGCTTTCCTGGGTGTGCACTGAGGAAGGCCAGTCCCTCCAGGAAACCACCAGAAGGAGAGACCTGGGATGACAGGAGTTTCGGGGTCTAGATTTTGTTGTAATTCTAAGAGCTGCGTTTTCCTCTCGGTCACTACCCTAGTGTTAGCTTAGGTTAGTAAGTGCTCAGTAAATATTTGTTGGGTAGCAGGGTGAATGACTGTAATGGAAAGCGCAAAGGTGTTCAGGGGATGCACACTATGGCCCAAGGAAGTGAGTCATCCTCACCCCTCCCCACATACACTCCACTAAGTCAAGGGAGCAAGATTTGCACTGGAAGATGCCTTTCCCCAATGATAGTGTTCTGGCTTTTTCCATTTGGTCCAGATTTCCTGGTAGACTCCGATTCTGCGCCTCAGGCCTAACCCACAGACATTCTGGTATCTCCCCTTGCTGACAGTCTTTGCTTTTCCTTTGGGTTAGCACAGAGGAGCATGTGTGAAGGGGGGTCCTCACAGGGAAGCACAGATGTCTCCCCAAACAGAGGGTAGAGGTCAGGAGCTATTTGTCAACCAGCAAGTCACCCCACTTATTTCCCCAGTTTTCAGAATAGTGAACAATGGTCCTGGGACAGGCTCATTAAAAAGTTATAAACAAAACCAGCCTGGAAAGCCCTTATTATGATTATTTTAAAATCTGATTTCTACAAGTACAGTCTTTGAACTGAAAGACCAAGAAACATTTTTCAGAATGGCCACCCCGGGGCCAGCCACAGCACCACGAGGCCGACAGCTGCAGAGCAAACAGCACAGGGACTCCCCCTGCCTTTGAGTCACCTCGCTTCCTGCTGCTAAAATGGGCCCCTTCAAGCCTCGGTGTGTGCGCGGATCAAGGAGCCCCACTTCGGGGGTTAGGCGGCTGGCACCAGATGCCTCTGGGCACACTGGCACAACTGGGACGCCTCTCCTGTCTCTCTCACCGACACAGCAGGGCCTACGGAGAGGACTTCTCCGAACTTGGTAATCTAGTACGTAGCACAAAAACATGATCAGGTGAAACTCAAGACACCGTTACATTTAATAAAAATACATTCAGATTTTTTCTGTTTTATGTACACTCCGAATGTGTGAACATTCCGGACACTATTGTATAGTTATGTACAAGTGCAGTGTCGACGTTTTCGTGACTGTGTTGCGGACAGGCTCTCCTGGGACATGCAGGCAGGCCGAGGTTCGGGTGCCTCTCGGGAACTGGCCCTGAGCCCAGGGCCTCTCGCTGCTGCCTCTCCCTTTCTCTGGCGGGAGCCTGAGGACGCTGCTCACTTTTGGCTGCAAGAGGCTTCAGCTGTTTCTCTCCTGTTGGAGCAGAATAAACTTCACCTGCTCCCTTCTTTTCTGCTTTTTAAGACAAAAACATTATTGGGGGAGGGAGAAAAAGAAATAACCTGGTAGCTATGGGATGTGCTGCACATTTTTTCAAGGCATGGGATTATCATGAGGCAGAGGCTTCTTTGGACAAGGAAACACGGGTTCTGCACAGACAAGGATCTCCCGGGGCGGCGGGGGACCTTTTCCAGTTGTAAAGGGCCAGTCCATTGCAGGCTCTCTGTGGGTGCTGGGATCTGCAGCAGGGATGTGGGGAGCGCTTTTCTAGAACAGTCTGCTCTTTAACAATGATGTGAAAAAGCAGCTTTTTGAGAGGCAAGTCTCAAAGTAGAGGTGTTCTGTGCATCGGTGTTTTAAGGTTTGACTTCCTTGAAAACATCCCTTCATGCGAATCTTGAGGGGAGTGGGTGTAGTGCCGGGAAGAGATGACACTCCCTCTCGAGGCACTGCATTTGTAGGTGAAATGCCGCTGTTTTTGCTCTTGTATTAATTTCTCCAAATTCACAAGCTTGAGCGTTTTGTTCAGAGGTCCATGCCAATAGGGAGAGGCCAGAGAACCGCAGGTTAAGAAGCAGAACAGAGATGTCGGGAGGCTGCTGCGTAATACCAGAATACAGAGCACCATAGACAGACAGACGACTTCCAGGCAGCGAGAAGTGGGCACGCTGCCCACTTAATCTTGGTCACTTTCCTGTTTCCTGTTCTCCCTCCTCAACCACCTGTTCCATGTGCTTTTCATCTTTACTCTACAGCCACCACCTCGGTCTGGGAAGGAGGCTGAGAGAGCCAGGCCCCTCCTGGGGGAAGAGGGCAGACCGCTCCAGGTCCTTCTCTGGACTCGGCAGGTTCTGGCTGGCCGCGGGTGACTGTCCCTTTCTGGGTGTGACTCCCCCTGGGGCCTGAGAATGACCCTCGTGCTCAGGGCAGGCTACAGAAACAAGAGCAGCTCTTTGATCCAGGGTCCCATGTGCTGCGTCTCTCCGCGTGATGCGAGCAACATCGCTCCCCTGCGGTGCCCTGGCAGGGGTGGCCAGAGGCTGGCGCAAACATCGGGCAGGGAGGCACAGGGATCACGCCTGACTTAGTGTCACTTTTGACAATAAAAACTGGAGCTTTCAGTTAGGTCATTTCTACTTGCCTCTCAGTTCCTGCTGCTAGGTTAAATGTTCCTTGGGGTGAGAAAATTCTTTTCCTGGCTGAAAATGAGATTTTAGAAAAAGAGCAGATTGCCAATGATTGCTATTTAAATTTTGTAAGAATGTAGGAATGTAATATGTAAAAACTTAGGCTTACTAACTCTCCAGTTGCTAGATCTATTTAAAGTCTAGGCACTTAGTGTGTGTGTGTGAGAGAGAGAGAGAGAGAGAGAGAGGGAGAGGAAGAGAACTTCAAATGAATTAAGACTAGATTAATCAAGTTGCTATAGAAAACTACCTATTAGATCAGTTTATATTCTGAGTAACACTGCTGACCTTGACGTTTAAAACAGCCCCCTCCTATATTAGCTTCATGAGATTCAAAAGAGATGGGCCATTATTAGTTTTCAACTAGAAAAACGCTACTCCCTGGAAGAGAGCTCTGCCTAAATCGTGCAAGAATAACCAGCACGTCTTCTGAGATAGCAGGCTTCAGACGAAAAGTTAACTCATCTGATTGGTTGTTAAAAGGCCATGTTCAAGAACAACTGATGATGAGTTTCTGCTTGTAAACGCTCCCTCTCGTGTTTCTGTAGCTTAGACAGTCCCAAGAACAGGTGCGCAAGAGAACCTGAGTGTCATCCCAGTTCTCTCACTGGCTCCACCCCGGCCACCCCCAGAACCACCCAGTCACGCTGACCTGGCATTAAACCACTTTTTCCTATGCAAAAGTAAAAGGTTAGACGCTGGAGCACAGATGGGAGAAATGGTCAAAGAAAGCCTGTGAACATGCAGATGAGTCGGATGTCGTGAGTTTCCAGTCTTCTGCCCGCACCGCCTCTCCCTGCCTGCTCCCTCTCCTGCAGAGGGCTCTGGTCCGCCACACTAGCTCAGCTCTCGGAGAGTCCCGGCCCCAGCATCAAATGCAGGTGCCAGGCTGTGCAGGGGGCTGCTGCTTCCGGTTCCTCACGGCTCCTGACTTCTCTTTGTACAGTATTGGCATCTGCTGAGAAATGTCCACCAGGGCGCTGGCCACTGCGAGACCTTGGGAGAACCCACAGAAGGGACACGTTAAGGAGCAGCTCGCTTTGGTTTCCAGAAAGTTAAATTTTTTTACATTGTCTTGGTGCAATGAATGAAGTACACAGGGAAAAGCGCCTCCCTTCCACCTCCCCACCTCCAACCGTGTGAATACTTCCACGAGTGTGTTTATGTTCTTTTGGGTACAGCTGCGTTATATAGATGTTAACCCATGTTCTTCATACTCCACTTTATACACAAAAGTGTAGTTTGCTTTTTAGAAGATCAACCTGCCTGGGCTGGCTGCTGAAATGACTGCAGAAGTATTCGAGCACTGAGTTTTTCCTGCCTTCCTCCAAAATGTGCAAGAAAAGCAGCAGTTTTAATGATGCAACTCAGATTCGTTCCACTCAGCCAGGGCTGCTCATTTTCCTATCTATCCTGTGAATCAGGTTAGAACACACTCTGGGTCTGGCTTTGGAGTACGCAGGTTCTTTAAACTCTCCATGCCTCAGTTTCCTCATGTGTAAAATGAGGCTAATGACAGTCAGGGTTCTATGGGAAGTCAGTGAGTGAAATTCTTGTGGTCTCAGATTGGAACCCAAGTCCACCACCACCTCTGCTTTCGGGCCTGGTGGTTCCATCGCCTGCTGGTCGTTAGGGAGGGGGAGGTCTGGGAGGTCGATTCCCTGCACATGGGACATGAGAGACTAGCGCCAGGGAGTCAGGTCAGAGGGCGGTTCCTTCACCCCGCCCATCCTACACAATGGTGGCCCGCAGGGGGTGGTAGCCAACAGATAGAGTGAAGGCAGAGCTGCGTGCTCTGGGGGTCCTGAGCGAGGCACCATCTCAGATGGGGGTAGCAAAAGGGATGGCAGGAATGGCCCCAGTCTTGGGGAGGAAGCACAGGTCTTATCAGGAGTCCAGGGATGGGGCGCATTGGTCTGGGGCAGGTCGGCACTATTCAGTGTCACTTTTGTACCTTCATTTTCTGTGAAAGGGAAGGACCTGAAAGGGAAACCGTGTTTGCTGCGACCCTCGTCTACTCACCTGACTGCCCGGGAGGAGGGATTCCACCAAGGCCTCGAGGGAGCCTCACAAACACAGAGAGGACCGCAGCTTTGTTGCCAAAACAAGGCTCCAGGGCAATGGGTTTGGGAACAGACTAGTGGAAGAAAACAAAGAATTACCCAAAGCAGTCAAACTCTGTTGCCGTTAGACGGGAAGTGAGGATGTCCTCTCTATTAGTTGCTATTGCTGTGTAACAGATTTCCACAAACTTAGTTGCTTAAAACACCCTCTATTTATTATCTCAGCTTTGCATGCCCAAATGAACTCTGTACAGATCTTTACTTGGGGATACAGGTCTAGTCAAGTCTTCCATCTGTTCTGGAAAAGTCAGTCAAGTTAGTAGCTGAGCTGGCTCTTATCTGGGGGTGGAGGTGGGGTGTCAGGGAGAGAATCTGCTTCAGAACTCATTCCAGTTGTTGGCAGAATCTAGTTCCTCTCAGCTGTAGACCACAGGTCTCCATTTCCTTGCTGGTGGTCAGGCAGGGGCCACTCTCTCTAGAGGCCACTGGCCTTCCTCATATGGCGCCTCCAGCTTCAAACCACACATTGAGTCCTTCTCATGCTTCCTCTTCTCTCTGTATCTTAAGACTTCTCTATCTTGGGACTTTTATTAGTTTTGCAAAATTCCTCCACAGCAGTAGCTAGAGTAGCGTTTGATTGAATAACTAAGAGAAGGGGATCTTGGGTGGCATCTTTAGAATTCTGCTTACTATATCCTTAGATATATCATTAGTTTCTTCAACTAAACTAAGGAAAATAATTTCTAGAGCCATTCTAGAAATGACTGCATGTGGCCCAGGGAAATGCCTGCATGGCTGATTAGCAGAGGCGGGATGATCAAGTATGAGGTAACTGCGATCATCCAAGTGAGCAGTAGACAGGTTAGGTGGGAACAGAGGTAGAGGTGGTGCGCAGTGGTCAGGAAATATTTTTAATGATAAAGGTCTGAGGTCAAACTGACTGTCAAAGTAGGGTGAAAGCAGAACAGTCAAGGAAGGTGCCATGACTTTGGCAGGGATCTTTTGGTGCTTGTTGATACAAAGATGTTCCCTTCATCTTTGGAGTTAATGTAGTTTTACTATGATAAACCCAAGTATAGTTTCCTTTTTCTTTTCTGCTTTCATTTCTCTATGCTGTTTAGGGTATGTTTTGCTTTTAGAATTTGCATAGTCATGTCTTCCATATGTCCTGGGGAATTCTCATCTATTATCTCTTTGCATATCATCTCTCCTCCATTCATTTGTTTGGGGGGGGTTCTGACCAGGTCTTTTTGTTTTACCCTCCATGTTCGTCATATCTTCCTTGTCTCTCTGTTTTGCATCTTTTGGGGTTTATGTTCTACTGAAAAAACTCCTCATTTCGATCTGATGTGTTACATTAAACATTAACTTCAGTTAATTAATAAAACTTCAAATGAAATGGGGCCTCCCTCATGGCACAAGGGAGGCTACCTGCAGCTACTGCAACACGAGTTCAATTCCCAGCCAGGGAGCTGACCCACGAGGCATAGCAGACCTCTCCTGTCTCACTGGCTGCTTCCTCAGCAGTGTATTTCAGTGGCTCTGCCTGTTCTGCTCCCCACTCTGTCTCTGTCTCCCCTCTCGCCACCCACCACCCCTTGCCATGCACTTCTGGCCTCCAACCCAGCTCTTGTATGCATAAATAAATCTTAAAAAAAAAAAAAACCCAAAAAACTTCAACCTCTATATTTTTTTATTTCTAACAGATCCATGTGGTTCTTTCTCATATCTGTTTTGCATTCTTCCACGGCTTCGAGTCTGCATTTTGTTTCTCCAAACATTTCATACATACTTTTTTCTTCGATTAATTGTAACATTTGATGGTACAACTCTCCATGTATGTACCACCTGCTGCATTTGCTAACTTACTCATGGTGGCTTGCCTCCCTATCCCTGGTGAGCTCTGACTGCTTTTGATCTATGGGGATCCTAGTTTGCATTTGGGATCTTCTCCTACAAAGAGGACCTGCATCTACTTTGGCTAAGACTCATGGTGAGTTACCAATTTGGAACCACTTTAGATCCTTCATGGTTCTGGTTCGGTTCATGGCTCATTCTTTTTTTGGGGAGAAGAAAGGAGAGTGGTAATCTGCAAACTTCACCATCTCCTGTGAGCTCAGTATGCTCTAACAAGTATGTTTTATTTAGGGCATGTAGCAAAGTCCATCAAGTATTTGAAATTACTTCATCATTTTGCCAAAAAGTCTTCATTTTCTTCATTTTTGGGGGTAGAAGGGCAGGGGCCAGAAATATTTTTCTTTTTCGTAAAATGCATAGTGAATAATGACGACTGCCCACCCCGCCCCCCAGCCTGATACTCTCAAAAAACAATGATTCAATTGAGCTATTATGCCACAGAATACTTAGAATACACTTAATATCAGGCAGGTCATTTATTTTAGAATACACTTGATATCAGACAGATGGTTTATTTAAAAATCCTCTGAACACAAGACTTCTTAACAGCACACTTAAAGACAAGAAAATGAAAGCGAAAGAACACTTGACAACTTCAGTGTGTTGTCTTGCTGATCAAAAGAGAGGCATAAGAGGTAACAGAACAAGGCTTTCTCCCTTTTGGTTTCCCAGACACAGAAGCGTGGTTTTGACAAGGTAAGTCACGAGGACGTCTGCATCACATTCTCACCTTTATAGTTCCCCCGATGAGATCAGGAGGCTCTTCATCTGTTTCCAAGGCAACGTTTACAGAGGCAAAGGGGCGACTGGCCATCTGCTGCATCTCTCGAAGAAGTTGCTAATGAGCAACACAGCAAACATAAATGCGGTGAGTACCGAGGGCATTCTATGAGTGAATGACATTAAAAATGCCTCGTCTTCCCTTGATTCAAACAAACCAAGAGCAACTGGCCGTGGACTGGGTAAGTTTTAGCTATCACTAAGCATTATTCAACTTTGCTGGAGGTTATATTAAGAAAGGTCCTTATCTGTTAGATACTCACGTGCTGACAGGTATAATGCTATAATGACTGCTTGTTAAAGACATACAGTAAACGATGTAGCCTTGTCTCCTCACATTTTTAATACTAGATGAAAGCCAGGCTTGCTTGCTTCCAGCTGAAACTTGAACAAAACTTAACAAAAGCCTGCACCTTGTTACATCATAGATAGGAATTGAAAAGCTCTTTACTGTTCTGTTCTCTAGTATTTTGTCAACATGAATGATGACCATACAATGCAAAAAAGGGTGGCAGCATCCTCATGGCGGCTGTCAGTATCACTAGACGGCTAATTTAGGGACAGACGCATCGGTCTTTCTCCACAGAGTCTTACCTCTCTACGCCTGGAGGCCCAGCAACTTTGCTTGATCTTCCAAACCACAGCAGCCACCAGGAGCAAAGAGAGGAAACAACTGTGAGAAAGGAAAGTACCAAGTTATTATCCCAGCCCCGAGTCGACACTGGTGTCCCCCACACCTGAGAGTGGGGGATCAGTCCCCAGACACCGGCTCCCAGCTCTTTGCCGGTGAGTCATGACAACCAGTTCCAGTTCACGGGAAGCAACGTGTGAAGAGACTGGAGCTCCCCACCTGCCTCCAGACTGTCCCCGCCCTTGTTCTGACCACCCTGACCCCCACTGGCCTGCGTCAGAATGGCCCAGCACAGATGATCCCAAGTAAGAAAAAGAACCCAAAGATAACTATAATAAATAAAAAGCATACTATTTAATCAAATCAACAACTCTTTACTGGTAAGGTCTAAAAACTTAAAGGAACAATCAGCTTTTCACAAGAGATAATATGTTGTACTCAATTATATTTCTACAAAGTAAATATATGTATAGTTCAGTGTGTGTGTGTGTGTGTGTGTGTGTAAAACAATCAACTCAATCCGATAATTTTCTGGAAGTATGAGAGAGAGTAACCCCAGTGGTCTGTGACTGCAGTGATGACAGTGTCCTGTCTTCTGTAGCCAGGCATCGAATGGTTTGAAAACCTACTGTGATAGCAAAGGGAAGGACTGATTTCTTAAAGAAAGGATGGGCCTAACACATGAACCTTGTAGATAGCAACTTAAATTCACTTTTTAGAAAAGATTTACTTGCTCCCCAGTGGTGCAGCGGGTTAAAGCACTGCACTGAGAAGCTAAAGCCACTTTCGCATGAGTTTGATTCCCACCTACACCGGAGGTGACCACATGGCGAGGCAGACCTCTCCTGACCCGCCCGCTGCTCCCCTCAGCAGTGTACTTCGTCGATCTGCCTGTTCTGCTCCCCACTCTGTCTCTGGTGAAGCCTCTCGCCACCCCTGAGTCTCTGGCCTGTACCCCAGTTCTGTATGCACAAATAAATAAATGTTAAAAAAAAAAAAAAGATTTACTTATTTGTGCACACAGAACTGGGGTACAGGCCAGAGGTGCAGGGATGGTGAGAGACTTCACCAGAGACAGAGTGGGGAGCCAAACAGGCTGACTGACAAGTACACTGCTGAGGGGAGCAGCGGGCGGGTCGGGAGAGGTCTGCTGCACCATGTGGGTCATGCGGGGATCGAACTCATGCGGAAGTGGCTTAAGCTTCTTAGTGCTGTGCTTTAACCCTCTGCGCCACTAGGGAGGGCCCTAAATTCATTTTTTTTAAAGATTTATTTCTTTGTGCATACAGAACTGGGGTACAGGCCAGAGACTCAGGGGGTGGCGAGAGGCTTCACCAGAGACAGAGTGGGGAGCAGAACAGGCAGATCTACGAAGTACACTGCTGAGGGGAGCAGCGGGCGGGTCAGGAGAGGTCTGCCGCGCCATGTGGTCACCTCCGGGGCAGGCAGGGCTCGAACTCATGCGGAAGTGGCTTCAGCTTCTTAGTGCTGTGCTTTAACCTGCACCAGGGAGGGCCTCTAAATTCATTTTTTAACTGGCTCTTTCTCATAAGCTTGAAGGGGCAGCCACGTGGCCCTGTGGCTCCCCTACAGGGCGGCTCCCAGGCAGGTGGGCCTTGCAGGTGGCAGTGTGCCCTGTGACAGGCAGCCTCCGTGCCTCCAAGCACCTGCTCCCCACAGACCTCCCAGGCAAAAGGTGCTAGGGTGACTTAACTCCTGCCCTTCCACAAACAAACCGCAGGTCCCCACAGCCCATCATCTCCCCAAACAGCATGAGGGCAAGATCCTCCATGTGGTCCTCTGGCGACAGGGAGGAGACTGCCCATGTCCTGACACGGCCTCCTCCCCTGCAGTCTCCACGACTATCAGCACTTTACTGGCGTGGTCTTGTTCTAGGGTCATGAAATAAGGAAATGAGCAGAGAACAGGACAACTGCCATGAAGCTCCAGGAGGCGGAGAAACAGTAGGCAAAGTGAGTAGGCGAGTTATACAGCTGAGGATGTAGACGCCTCAGAAACACAGGTAAGGGTAGGGGGGTTCAGGACTGCAGTGGTGCTCAACGCGACAGTCAGTGTGGGGATCTTGCTTGGGGGGGACAGTTGAGCAAAAACTTGGAGGTGACTCAGTGACCTCTGCAAAAATGCACCTGGACCATGGAGCGACTTATACAGGAAAGCTCAGGCTTGCCCAGGATGGCCCGAGGAGCAGGAAGCGGCAGCGTGACTGGAAGGGGTGAGTTAGGACAGAGATAAAGGGGGTGAGGGAAGGGGCAGATGACAGAAGGCCTACAGGCACCATGGGATGTTGGGCTGCACTGAGTGATGGTGACCGGGGCAGGTTTCTGAGCAGACGATGGTCATGATGAACTCACGCTGGGGCCACTAGGGCAGACCAGCCAGGTCAGTCCTCTAGACACCAGCTGCTGGGAGCCCAAGCCAGGGGGTGGGGGCAGGGTGTGAAAAAGCACTTTGGAATCTACATCTTACTGGAAGACTGAGACAATAGGGTTTCCTGATGGCTAAACATAAGGAATGGCAGAAAGAGGAGCCAGAGATACGTGGCCAAGTGCCTGCCATCAACCTGGAGTGGGGAAGACGGGAATGGAGCGGGCAAGACAGCAGGTCCGAAGTCCCGTTTGGGACACAGAGCCCTGAGATACCTGCCTGCAGCTAAGGGAGAGGTTGGAGGCAGGTGTGTAGCGGTGGGGGCCAGGTCTGGGGTGCAGATGGCCTCTGGCAGTCACCTGCATATATGTGGTATTTGTTTGAAGTAACAAATTTGAGTGAGGTTATCAAGGGAGTAAAAACAAGCAGAGAAGACTACCTTGGGGGTGGACCCCAACACGGACACATGGGGAGAACAGCAAGAAACACTATAGAGAGTAACCTCAGTCTTTTGATTTCCACACATAATCCCTCTTTTTGTTATTTTTATTCTAACCAATAAACACAAGGAGGAGCAAACCCATGTGGAAGGACAGGAAGGGGACAAGTTAGGCTGGCCAGGACCCCAAGTACAGGGCAGCTCCCAGAGGCAAGGACCTGGGTGCCCTCAGAAGCCTTCTGGGGTCCCCCCGACAGAAAGCTGTAAAGCCCGATGCTCATAAGCCCCTAGGTGGGGCTTCTGTCTTCAATGCAGACCCGACGAAAACACCAGTAACACAGTGACTGGGCCGCAGAGCTGCGACACCCCTCCTGAGGTAGTACAACCATGAAGAATTTACTAGTTATGTCAAAAAGGGGTGCTTGCCGACACTCCCACCTTTTCCCCACCACTAATTTGGGTGCAGATGGGACAGTGACTCAGTGTTCATCTTAACTGTAGTCTCTGTAGCAGCTGTATCCTCCATTTTTCAAAACAAATGTAACTTTAAAACATTCTTAAAATTCGCACGCCCACAAAAGTAGAGAGAACGAGGCAGTGCGTCCGTGTATGCCCATTACTTACCCTTGACAAGTACCAACAGTTTGTCTGAGACTTTAAAAGATCACCCTTAAGGACACAATCCAGGCTAAAGGGCCCCATTTCCTGAAAACAAATCTTTAGGTCTCTTTGTTCTAAACCTGTCCCTGCTTATCAGAGGCTTGTCCTTTCTTCATTCTAGGTCCTTCTTCCCATCTTTTGTCAACTCACAACTGGAGTGTTCAGTGCTGTTCCCCAGCTGCTAGCTGCCACTAGAATGGTGTTTTTGAGCGTGACCCAGGCTTCCCTCCTGGAGGGGAGGCCACCACAGACTGGGTCTCTTCTCCTGCCCTGGTAAGCTTAGCCATCCCGAACTACCTATGCACTGCCAGGTCTGGCCGACTTGAGCACACACTGCTGCTGCTCACAGGTTTCTGGGATTTGTACTTCCTCATTCTGGTCAGAACAAAATCCAAAGTGGCAGGACCCCGGTAACATTTCTATCTTTTGGGAAATAAAATGGTCGTTTCATGGATTTGTCAAAACATCTGCTGTCAATCTGGCAGGAAGCTTAGCAGATGGTCAGATAATTAAGTTTGACAAAAACATTCTACCTGATCTATTCTGAAATTCCTATTCTAGGCCCTCCTTTTGGCCAGGTGCGTCACATCACCTGTGTATTCTTCTTACTTCCACTCATGCCAGCCTAAGGCACCTCGGAGCCCCATAGATTTTCAGTGTCAGTCTGGTTCTTCTCCTCTGATGACAGATACCATTTGAAATACATGTCAGTCATCTCAGAAACAAATCCTTTCACATACATGCTACGCCAATTCTCAGGGCAAGCGGGCAGGGGCCTCCTTCCTCCTCCTTCACGAGGTTCCCTCTGCAGCCTGCACACGCATCACATGGAGACAAGGAGGCTAAGTGGAGTTGTCAGATTCCATTTTATTCCCTGTGCCCAAGGCTGGAAGTGTTACAGGCACCCCAGTGTGAACTGGGCTGCCTGTCTGTAGGTCTTCACCCGCGCACTTAAATTTAGTTGTACTGCAGGCACACACAAAAGGGTCAATAATTGGTCTATTTACAAAAGGGGAAAGGCAAGGTACAACCCAGGGAAGGAGAGCGAGAGAGAGAGATACAAGGTACTAGAATATCTTACCAACTCGGCTGACTTTGAACTCTAGTAACAAGCTAACTGATAGCCCCCAGTCACACAGTTGGAGAGAGCAGTTGCCCTAGAGAGAGAGTGGGGTTGCCTCTCCTGGGCTAGAGCTGTTGAAAATGGCTCCCTATTTATCCCCGAAGTCCCAGAATTCCTCATAGCTCCGCCCTTGGGTCCTCGCAGTTCTCTCCCTGGTATTGCTGGGAGTTGTAGTTTCCAATCACTGGAGTAGGGGGTGGAGTCCAGAAAGCTGGCATAGTGGTGAGGTTCAGAAAACTCTGCAGAGTCCTTTAGGACATTCTTCCCCTTACTTTACTTAACATACCTCACACTGATTTTTCTCATTCGAATCAAGGCCACACCACAATTCTCCTTTTACATCACATGCGCTGGCCTTCGGAGTGTCTGGGACTATCTGGGCGCCTTTCCTCCCTCAGCTGTTTCATGTAAATCTTTTGGACTCATTAATTTGCT